GAAAAGAGTCATTTTTACTCCAAATAGAACATTTTTGCTGAAGTAGGTGTCGCAAGACTACAATGTCCAATTTTGTAAACAATATGACATCATGGTCTTTTTGCCACAGCAGCGTGCCAAATGTCATAATGAAGCCAGTAATGCGATAGGCCTACTCGATGATGGCGTACGCTGGATCGTGCACATTCGCCATCCTTACTCCCCCCCCCCCACACACGCCCACAATAAAATCCTTTACCTGTAATTCAGGGCACTGATGTTGATGTACTGGCTCCGCATGATGGGGCACTGTATAGCGTGCTGGTGGGGTTCGATGAAGCCCGGCATCAGGGTCTGTTGGTTCAGGAAGATGACCTGGGTGTCGGGTCCGGCGGGACGGAAGACCACATCATCGATGGAGCCACGGCCAGGATGGTGTCCCCGCTGATCGCTACGGCCTCGGTCTTGGGCGGGGAGTCGGCACCGCGGGACCCGGGTTGGCCTCACTCCCCTCCATGGTGATGATGTCGCCCCCGTACAGGATGAGGTCGGCTGGCATGGCCCGAGCCTTTGTTTGTTGCAAAAAAAATGATATCCAAACCATCATCTTAAAGACAGTGTTACAACGAACGTTGCTGGATTTTCCTTCACGTTAATTCTTTCTGCACTCAGATTTGACCGGGAATTCCGGTCCTATTTAGCCTGACACTCTAGGCAGAGAAAACAAGTGTGTGTTTACAGTGACGCCTGAAAATTACCAAAGTAGGTAAGGAATTCTTTCATTTTGTAACTTTTTCATGTTTCTGTTTGTCTATTTTACTTATTTTGTTTACTTGTTTTAGGTACCTTTAAAGGTAATGATTATACAACATTTGCATTTGCGGTAATTTTCAGAAATCGATGGATATGGGGTTAGTATTTCATGGCAAAATTTGTTTCACTGACCTGTTAAAAGTTTGTGTTTATAGAGACGTAAAATCCCCCCCCCAAAAAAAAATGTTCTTAACTTCTTGTAGTCTGGCTACCTGACCTACTTGAGACGAAACGGAGCAGTTTATAGACGTTTGGGAATTGTCTAGTCAGGGAACCAGATTAGCTAGCTTGCACCAGTTAGGTCACGGATGTGTAAGCGATTGCAAACAAAATGTGGACTAAATAAATTGGGGGGCAATATTCGAAAAATGGCGGGGGGGTTTCCCTACGATGGTCGACAGCACACCAGGTGCCATGATTTCACAGGATGCTTGAGACTATTATGCACTTACAGTCTATCTAGCAGGGTATTTCATAATGATTAGGTAGTTTTGTTTTTTAATGTTTGCAAATGTTGTATATTGCTTTTAACGGTATGATGTTTATTAACCTGATTTATTGTTTTAGGCCTAACAATGACACACAGAACCGTCGCATAGGGAAGACTTTTTATTTCAAAATAAAGTTAATTTTAAATGTTTGGCCAAATTAATGTGGCAAATAAACATTTTGAGGTTAATAATATGGCCTTAAAATCAGCCAGGTTGGGTTAATACCATAGAGCAGGTCTACGGATGATTTAGAGTACCGTGTTGTTCAGGGACCGTTTTTCAAGCAATAAATTATTGACAAATTCTGATTTGACCTGCGCCGCTGGCTTACAATTCAATGTTTATTGTCAACATTATGCCAAGCCCTTAGTTAATTTAAATAAACAAACTTGAACTACAACCACTAAAAACTGGATCACATACGTGTGTGCCTTTGGGGGTTGCCGAGCTCTGCCAATTATTTGTCTCACTTGAATACATGTTTGCATTTAAAGTGGATGATTTCAGGGACTTAAATCGTGGAGATTTGGGGCACGGTCTTTGTGAGTCTACTATAGCGCGCTTGGGCTTGCGGGTACACGGCTCTGAGAAAATTTTACTTTTGTTGATGGACATAAAAGGTTGACCGAAACGTCGAATTGATACCTCCGGTTCTTATCTTAAAGGCATAGGATCATTGTGTATTTATCCCAAAAGTAACCTACCTAATTATTATCAAAACGTTTACTTGGATTGAAGATCGTTCTGGTACTAAACAACTTGTTTTTCCTCCCACCTCTAAAACTGTAATTTCTTCTCATTGTCTCTCTCTAAGTTGGTGTGATGTTTCCCCTGGGATGCTTTACCAACTATAATATACAGATACAGATACAATGTATATAACTCATGAAAAAAAAGTTCCAAAGAACTGGTAAGGAAACCCCTTGTGATTGGCTACCAATGCTTTAACGTCACATCGACAGGTGCCTACTTTGGACATCCTGGATTTCGCTGTGAGCTGAGCTCTCTGCATGGTGACAGCGTTCTTGGCAAAGTTTAGACAACAAACGACGCAAACAGACGGTGGGCCGTGTATGGAGGGTTTGTAGCAAGCGGCTCGCGACCAAGTTTCAACGGAGAAACCACAGTTGCAAGTGAGCGTGCCTGGAGGGTAGCCCCGGGTTTTAAGCTCTCGCATCTGGCCCGTGGGTGGGGCAAAAGGGTACCGCAGTGGCGCCTAAACCGGCGCTTCTTGCCATTACAATTATGAAACAAACACCCATAGGAAAGGATTTATTACATTCGTACCTATGTGACTTATTTAATTTTCCAAATCTGGCAATAATTCATCGTGATATTTTTTCACTTTAAATGTTAATGTGCCAATGATATACATCATGTTATTTTACTTACAAACCCTTTCGAACATTCTTTGTATTTGTTCCACCTTATTTTGAACAAGGGGGTAACAGCAAAAAGAGGATTAGGCCTGCCAGTATTTTGGCGGTGGTTGGCCCAATAAAGCGCCCAAGGCTTACGACGTACCTGGACAAAACAAATCGCCAGATTTATTACAATGTCCAGGTTTTTTTTTTCAATTTTAAGTTTAGTTTACACAAAAGCTGTTTTTACGCAACAGCACTTGCCGGTGATCCTGTTATTATATGCCCCTGTGCACTTGGTAGTACGGTGTTCCCTAAAGAGCGGAATCTAGGTGCACAATTTACCGTCGTTACCATCAGCCATCGTGCCATTTCCACGGAAATTAAAGGACTCCATAGCACTTCACAGGAAATCGGTTAGACACCCACAAACATCCATATATATATGATTGATCCACAGTGATCAATAGTCTGCATCGCGTGTGTATCAGACGCGACAGTATTGTCATGATTTTCTTTACCATTTGTCCCCACTTCACATGCATGGTTGACTTTTGAAATCGAATCCGATTGTGGTCTTTCAACTGACCGCAGTTTTTTGAAGCTATCAGCTTTACTTGCCCTTCGTTTCTTTTTCTTTAATCCAACACACAAAACTTTGGTAAATCAACGCCCCATGCATGACCAAATAAAACTCGGGAAGTTTGAAGGGAAAAGAACCGTCAAACCAGTTAAACAAGAACATGAAATAAATCTTCGCATTTAAACGTGTTGTTGTGCGAATATCCATGCCTCGATATATATGAACTATAATAACCCAAGAAACCATGCACTTAGACGCACCTATTGCCTTGCTTGAATTCTAGATGCATGCTCTGTGGTGCGATCTGAGGCTATTTCTGACTACTTTGTCCAATCTTTTGGAGGAAAAAGATGGTAATGTACGCAGTGCCTGCCTTTATTGCGACACCACTTAAAAAAAAAAAATGGTTTCGTTTGGGGGGCCATGGCCCCCGTTGCCCCCCCCCCCCCGATCCGCCTTGTTGCACAACACATTGCGTGCGAAAGACGAGTGAGGCGGCTTTGTATCCGCACTTCACTGTCAGTGTACTTTGTCACAAAAACCTGACGTATAAGTGAGTTGAGTTGAATCCATGATACCGATGCGCACATGACATTTTTCACAAATACTAGAAATGACTGTGTTCGTGTACGAACACAAGCTGCTTCGTCTGTTTTTAAAATTGCTCTTTCCGACATTATGTAATGAATTCGTCATATCACTAAATAATCATATAACACATTACACATAATCCAACACGAATCGGACCTTTAGATAATAGGCCTCATACAATGGCCCTTTGGGGAAAACGAGCACCTGGTATTTGGAAGATATGTTAATGATGCACAAAAAATGAATGTCTTGTGTATCTGTAGTACTTCACCTTATGCCATGGCCGATCATGATGTGGTAAATTAGGATGTTGTTTAGTATGCGGTACTATAGTATTATTTGTTGCTGCCAGAAGACAAGTTCAAAGCAGTCGTCAAAAGAAGTGCAATGAAAGCAACTAATCAAAATAGGTACATGTACCGTAAACAGCAACGAAGCAACTGTTTTTCATTGTCAGGGAACCAGACTACGAGAAGTTAATTGTTTTTCTTGGTTTTCCATCATCTACGAACCCAAAACGTCAAGCAAGCCAGCCTTTAAATTCTCAAAAAAAAATGGCCAGGACTTTTTAAAACTATTTTATTAATACCCTTGGCATAATAATACACGTAAAGTGAATGCTTGTAGGCAATCAAGTGTTCTCCCATTCCCATAAATAAATTGTATTTTCCCCGACGGAATTCCATCTGGGTCACAAAATGGTATATTTTACCGTGTCACAATTATTGCAGTGTACATAATTATGGGCAACGTGTGCACGGAAACGCAGAGAACAAAAACAATAGCTGCTTCGGCAGCGTACGGTCGGCCAAGAACCAATTAAGCCTGTGTGCGTCCAGCCACGGGCACTCCTACACTTTGTCAGGCAAATTTTTAGGACCCATTTTCGACGGTAATTTTATCAATTCTGCCCTCGGATGGAAGCCCAAAAACCAGGGAGTATAGATCCTCGGCTATTTTTACACAATTCCACCGTTTTTTAAGCCAAACGATCCCTTTTTTCCCTTCAAAAAAGACTTCTTGTAGAAATTCTCACTGTGCACAATCAAACGCGAATTATTTGCGTCCGCTGTCTTCTAATGTCGAACAAAAATACACCCCCGGCCAAATTGTGTTTTGCCGGCATTGTCCGGCATTACTGGCATGTTGTCGTAAAAGTTGGTAACTTGATCCGGTCTTAACTTATTCTTCAAAATGGGGCATGGGGCCGCTGCTGAATTCAGTTGAGCGTGATAAGGAGTAATAAATAACTGTCTGATATTTTCTACACAAACCCCAGGTGTAGGGGGCTTTGTATAGAAATGTCTAGATGCCAACTTTACGACAATGAGTGTTAGTACTACCGAAGCAGCTAATTGCACAACACATTGCGTGCGAAGGCCAACAATGTGGTTCACGCTTGAGTCTGTACTTCACTATCAGCATTACCAGCACGGTCGTAAAAGTTGGTACCTTGATCCTGTCTAATTGAAGCATAACTTATTCTTTCAAATGGGGCTTTCGGTTGCTGCCGAAGTGAATGGAGCATGGTCGATGGGTAGTAATGATAAATATTTTCTGATATTTTCTACACAAACCCCCGGTGTAGGTGGTATTGCATAGACATTTTTAGATACCAACGTTTACGACAATGTGTTTGTAATGGTCGACAAGACCCAAGCCTGCGTGCAGCCATGACATCCCTTCACTTTCTCTGGCAAATAGGACCCATTTTTCCACCGTAATTTTATAAATTCTGCCCTCAGATGGAAACCCAAAACCAGGGAGTTGATTCCCGGCTTTA